ATTAAATTTTCAGCGACTAAAACAGTTCCATTTATAACCCAAATCTGCAAATAAAGATGTAAGAAGTTCAGAGCTATACCTTGTGAGGTAGAATGTTTTGAAAGTTTCATTTTGAATAATCATATTTGGATTTTCATTCACATATGAGGATTTAAGAGGTCTAAAGCGCAGTGAGCTCAACCTAGAAGTCTCAAACACATATGGACAGGAAATAAGTGCTAGATTATAAAATAGACTTCAATAGAAATTATTTCAAAAATAACATTTAAAATGACCTATGACTTGCAATGTATTGAAAGACAGTGGCGGAACCAGAACTTCTTGTGAGGGGGTGCTGAGAAAGTTTGTGTAAACTTGGATCGGCAACAACGTCATTGGGACGCAAACCGATGTGGCCCTTTTATTTGTTCCGTAGACGTTTTTGAAGATTTTCCGCTCGGTATTACGAATTTAACATGCTTAACCTAACAAACTACACAAATTTGTCCATTCATATAATAATCAGCCTTGATTTCTATTTAATAACTATATTCAATATTAAATTAATATGATTATTTAGTTAAAGAAAAGAAGAACACATTATACTTGAATAGTAAAATAAAATCGATCAAGCCACTAGCAAACTAGCATTACGCGCACTACCTGTGTACCTAATAAAATAAATACACTCCAACAGACAACAATTAACCAACCCACATTAGAAATTTACAGTTTAGAATTTATACATAAAATTGTATATATTGATGTAAAATACCGAGTAAAAGAACAATTGAACAAAAGATAAATTACCTTTTCAATTCTCAAAAGTGGCCAAACGACATCCTATTTACTGCTAGCTTTAGCAATGATGGCTTGACAACAGCAAAGGCCCATGCGTCTAGAACAGCACCGGCGATCCGGTGCTTGAATTTCCATCTTCAACTTTTGGTCTAACTGAACGAACTTACGAATGAACGGTGAACAACCTAAGTAAGTTTCTGATATTTAATTCTATTCTATTACTCCATAATTTTATAGGATGTCGTTTTGTGTTTCGTTTCTGTCGTTTTACTTTATTTTTTGTCTTCTTTCGACTTAATGGAACGCTGTCGTTTAAGTCTTCAACCAAATGCTTTCTAAAAATTAAAAAACCTCCGCAATAGCAGAGCTGCGGACCACCGTCGAGGAAGCCAGGGGCGCCGGACACGATGAAACTTCAGGGGCGCTAGATAACATAATACATATATATACCTAGACTATTCCGGCGAAGGGGTGGCGCCGGCACCCCCTCGCTCCCCCCTGGTTCCGCCACTGTTGAAAGAGCAAGATTAGGTATGAAAACCTAATCTTAAGTAATGAAAACCTTAAGTAAATGGAAATAAAAGCAGCCGGGGGTATGATCAAGATTAATTTTTTCAAAAAAACATAAAATAAATCATTCTACAATCTAACCCAAAAGCCTACTAAAACTGAATCCTATGGTTTAGTTTAAAAAGCTTAAATCAAAACCTGACGTAAATGGAAATAAACTTAGGTTATTAGGTACGATAAAGGTCATTATAGTTATAAAAAAATAGCAGAAAATAAACTCTAATTCTGAAATCCATTCTAAAAGCCTACTAAAACCGAATCCTAAAGCATAATTTAAAGAGTAGAAAGTGTGAATTCACGTGCATATCTATGGGAGGCTATGAAAGTTATAGAATTTGTGACTAGACCAATCTTTATTTAAGACCTGATGTCAAGAAAGTGTGAATCCACGTGCCTATCTATGGGAGGCTATGAAACTAATAGAATTTGTGAGTAAAGAAAGGCTGTCAAAAAAGAGCTAGGGGGCAACCTTAGTTTAGAACTCGATTCTTGTGGTGGTTGATCTTTGCTCAAAACCTGAAGTAAATGGAAAGAAACATAGTTTATTAGGTATAATAAAGGTGAGTGTAGTTAAATTAAAAAGCAAAAATAAAGTCTCAGATTCAAATCCAGTCCAAAAATATACGGACAAACTTACTTCTCATTTTTTAAATTGGAAGCATTTGAGCTTTGCAAATCTAGAGAAGAGGTATCATCTAAAAAATCAGTTGAAACAAAATAGGCACATGAAAAAAGCTATAAATGAAAAAAGCTTTTTAGTATAGGGAACAATCACTTCAAACCAAATAGGCAGTAACCAAACAAATTGCTTCTTTGATATCAACTCCTTTTTTATTTACTTGGACCCAGATTCTTGAGAACATAAATGGTGATGTGAAGATCTGTACTTTTTCATTTCTTATCTTGCATTTACCATATTCTGCCTACAAAACCCCCCAAAAATGAATCAAGGATACAAATGAAAATGCTTGTAGTTAGTCCCTTGCTTCTTTTTCGTACTTTCTTATTATTCTTCATTTCTAGGCTAGAGATGAAAAAAGCTTTTTAGTAAAGAGTAACTAAACAATCAGTTCAAACAAAATAGGCATATGCAAAAAACTGCGGTTGAAAAAAGCTTTTTAGTAAAGAAATAAAGGGAACAATCAGTTCAAACCAAATAGACAATAACCAAACAAATAGCTTGCTAAGGTGGGTTGATGTGGTTGAAAGCAACACCTGGCCAGAAAAAAACATAAAACTTAATAGCAGGCCAATTATATTGTTCATTTGATGGAATCTTAATTTGTTTATAGGAAAACAAAACATATCCATATAGCTATAAAATCCCATTCAAAAGTTCAATGGATAAAACTGAAATACATTGATAGTGTAATATATAGAGTGGAAACTGACAGTAAAGAACTGAAAAATCATAGATAAGAGCATAGAATTGAAGAAGAAACCTACATTTTCCACTTTTAAAGTTCTGTTTTTTATTATTAAGGATCACTTGTGCATTTCATCGAACATCATGTGTACAGAATATACTTTAGGGTACGTGAGCCCCACTGAGTTTCAGTATCATTAATTAAAAACAAAAGAAGTATGAATCTAAAAAACTATATTATAGAGCTCAATTCCTAATGATGGTTAATAATGTAAAATTCTAAAATTATGTACTACGTAGTATTGAATAAAGAAGAAAGTGGGTGAAAAAAATCTGAAGCAACTCACCATCTATACGGATGTTCCATTAGATTTTAGAACAGAGAACATCAGAACAGAGAAGCAATTCATCATACATACAGATGCTCCGTTAGATTAGAAAACACGGATTACAGAAATAGAGAAATGAAGAATTAAAGTAGCACCTCTACTACCTGGCAATGAGTGTGTGAAGCCTTAATGTTGATCTGTATCGGTATTCGGTATAAGTAATCTTATTACTTATTTATTACTTATTGCTTATTCTTATTTTATTCAGATCAGATCAGAAAAATTCAGATCAGATCAGAAAGATTCAGATCAGATCAGAATCATTCATATCAGATCAGGAACATTCAGATCAGATCAGAAAAGTTCAGACATGATTTATCCCTTTTATTATAATAATATTGTTGAGGTATATTATCCCGGTCCGTTACTGTTCAGGAGCCCAAGGCATCGCCCCAGCTTGGAGCCCGAATGACAAGGTCCATTTCAGCCTATTAGGCATGTTTCGGCCCTTTGGGCCCATTTTGGGCTTACTTGGCCCATTAGGGTAGACTTATTCCCTACTCCCTTTCCCCTATAAATATGGGGCTTTTCCACATGTTTAGGGATCCTTTTCTTCTTCCTCCTTCTCACTAGAATAGCTTGGAACTCCATTAATGGGAGCTTCAATACTTGTACTATGTAATGGTGAGGAGAGACTAATGAGAATGAGAGGGCTTGGACATTAGCCTAAAAAGTCCCGTGGTTTTTTCACTTTCGGGTTTCCACGTAAAAACTGAGTGTTCATACATATATTTACTATATCGTATTGGATTAAACTCAACACTGGCGCCGTCTGTGGGAAGCTACGTACGTGACTTCTTTATTTTTCTTATGTGAATAACTATATCGGGTTCAGCCGGACGCTCATTAAGGGGGACTGCATTAATGACATCCATCGCCCCGTCGATGTTTCCATTGTCAACATTGCCCCCACTACCTTGGGGAGCGTTATCAGGCGCACCATCGGCCTGGATAGTCCCCACGGTCGAGGCTGAACCCGAACTCCCTGAGACGCTAGCCTTTCCGGGGGAGTGTGAACCGGAATCAGAAGAGGAGCCTGAAGAGGAACCCGACGAACCGGAACCAGAACTTGACGAAATCTCCATCGAGGCCATCTTGGCGAGAATTCAAGACAGATAAAAGAAGCAGGGGAGGGAAATTACCTTGCAAGGAGATTAGCTGAACTCGGAAGCGGGGAGAAGACTCGAGGAGCAGCGGAAATTCTAGAGCAAGAGAGCAGAAATTGGGAACCCTAGTCCAGAGGGAAACCCCGGCATTTATAGGAAAAGCACCGAGGAGGGAACCAACGAGGGGTTGACACGTAGCAAGGAGCGTGGTCCGGCTCACGCGCTGTGCGTGGGATGGAAGCGTAATGATGACACTTCCTCGGGAAAATGCACCACCGCTACAGCAGCCGTCACCTCGTTTCCTGAACCGTCGACAGCTGTCAAGCACCATGACCACGAGCGTACGCTTCCACGAGATGCAATAAACATAAGTACCAGGTCACGAACGTCCTACCCTCAGGAGAGATCATACTTCCTTATGTCCTGTGCATGCTCAGAACATCAGAAGTGGGGGACTTGTGTTGGGTTAATGGCCCAAGTCAGGGTGCGGCCCATTCACCCCTTTTTTACCAGACGTACGTCCAGTCAGATCACTGAACTAGCCTAGCAAGCCCATGTTCCTCCAGGAGGGATGAACGTCTGCAGTAGGGGGTTAGGCTCAGAGGCCCATCTCGACGAACGTGTCACGCCCCAGACCGCAATCCAAGCGCGTGTACAACCGCCGTATAACTAAGTGACGTCACCCACGAGTCAACCTCACTCAATTACACAAGGCGTTCGAGAAAACAATCCATCCATACTCAGTAGTAAACATACATAACAACATCACATTTAAACCAATGAATAGCGGAAAATATTCAACGGTAAGTCATAGGCCACAACCGGCCAACAACATGGGCATGCAAGCCCCAAAAATAGTTTATAGTAGAACAAATATCCATGAGCAAGTGTTCGGTAGTTTGAAAGAAAATAAGGAAGCACGAACCACGTCTTCCTGATTTGATACCACCCGTGAGAAGGTGCAAGTAGCAAGCCCTAGCTTCAACCTGAAAATGGTGGGGCCCCCCGAAGGGGTCAGTACAAGTACCGAGCGAGTAGCAGGCTAAATATAGAATAACTAGCGTTTCAAGTATAAGACCCAAACATAGGGTGATACTTAAATAGATAGTCTTTCCCCCAAGTTATGAAATACTTATTAGTATAAATATATACTTGGAAAATATCCGATCCGTAGATCACCATTTTATTTGGGAAGAATAGTAATAGTCAATATTCTTGACTAAAAACCCCAACCCACCCATATACCAATGAGTGTATAGGACTCCTCCTTGTCCCTATTTCAATATCATAATCTATGAGTTTTGAGGATCATAATCCTTGGGTACTCCACCGGTTTGCGAGTGTTAAGGACTCATAAGTCCTAGGGTCCTCCACCAAGTTTTGAGTGTTAAGTACTTTTAAGTACTAGGGTCCTCCACCAAGTTTGAGTGTTAAGTACTCTTAAGTACTAGGGTCCTCCACCAAGTTTGAGTGTTAAGGACTTTTAAGTCCTAGGGTCCTCCACCAAGTTTGAGTGTTAAGTACTTTTAAGTACTAGGGTCCTCCACCAATTTATAATCTGAGTGTTAAGGACTTTAAGTCCTAGGGTCCTCCACCAATTTATAATCCGAGTGTTAAGGACTTTAAGTCCTAGGGTCCTCCACCAAATTTTGAGTGTTAAGTACTTTTGAGTACTAGGGTCCTCCACCAAAATATTTTCCTATGATCAACCTTCTATCAACCTAGATAGAGTTTATATCACACTTAGTTACTCGTAACTAATTCAATACATAAAGCTTATGTATCACAATCCATGCAAACCATGCGATTCTATAAATGTATAACTAACTAATATCAACCGATATTAATTAATCCATTATCCACCGGTCAACGGTGTCGTTGACCGCCATTTCAAGTCTTACACTTATCGACTCAATCATCATGTAATTAAATTGATAATGTTCATTTGGTGTTCCTTATACCTTTCAAACAAATATGGATTTTATGTAATTCCTCATATCATATTCCATGCATAAATCATTTATTTCTTTTATACAAACTTAACCCTATTGGCTAATCACATGTTTAAATATCTTTTAAACATCATTATGAACTCATATAACATTTATTTAGGTAATCTCATAATTAACCCAAAAGTTATAAGATATTAAGCCGTCCACTCACCTTGAACTAGTGTTATGAAGTTCCACCCTTCTTGGTTGAACTCCGGTGAAACTCCGGCGACTTTTGGTCAACTCCGGCGACAACTCCGGCGACTTTTCCAACTTTGTGAAATCACTTGAAATACCCTTTACAAGTGCCTAACAAGGTTTTATAATCATAAAACCCATATTAATACAAATAACCTCTAAAAGGTTATTTTCCGGTGAACCGGTCGTTTTGGCTTCTAAGTCCGTTTTTGGACGTAGAACCACCTTCCAACCCATGAATCCATACTTATAACATATGGAACCATACTAAAGGTTCTTCATATGCTATATACTTCATATGGTAGAAGAAAAATAAAGAAAAAGTTATAATAAGGTCATTACCTTAATTATTTCACACTTTTAGCACTTTAGCTCCTTTTTGGGTGATTCTTCTTTGATGAGCTCTCTTCAACAATGGAGGAAGGAAGAAGAAGAGTTTTCTTTCTCTTCTTGCTGTAGCTTGGCCGAAAATGAAGAGGGGAGAGGGATGAGAATGGACTTTTGTCTCATTAATCCAATGAGTGCAAAATGAGGGTCCACCTTAGGTACTTTTGATGCCTTTCCATTCAATCTCCAACACCTCCCACCTTCCTATTCCCATTCCAGCGGCCAACACCCCATATTGAGTGTCCAAATTCGTGGGTTGGCCCCCACTCATGTGGGAGGTCAACCCTTTGTGTCCCGAAGTGTACAATCGGTCCCGAAAGTTGTATTTTTCGGACTGTTTTAAATATATTTTATTTTATCAGGTCAAATAAAATATATTATGTGCTCTTACTCATTATGACATGTATAATGAATATACATTCCCCAACTTTAATTTATAAGCCTCCGAAATTCAGTTCGGGCTGTTATCAGTTAAATTACCAGTACTGGTAATTTGGGCTTCTTTTGACCAATCGGTCAACTCCGGGCCTTTCCATGGCCCAAATGAAATATCCACCACTACATATTTATTATCTAGACCATGATGAATAAAATGTATGGTCTCGGGAAAATCGGGCGGCCCCCGCTCCCGGTGTGGGTCCCACGTGCAATTTACTATTCACGCGAAAGAATAAATAAAAATTTACAACTTCGTAAATTCATAAATCATTCCATAAGGTTTATTACATCATTTACATAAAAGTAAATACATTTGGGGACGGTGTTACAAGTTCACCCCCCCTTATTTGGGATTTCGTCCCCGAAATCCGTGTGTCTAATCGAAAAGAAACGGGTATTGCTCCCTCATTGAGACCTCGGTCTCCCATGTTTCTTCTTCGACTCGATCACTCCTCCAAAGAACCTTTACCATAGGAATCTCCTTATTCCTAAGTTTCTTCACTTGTTGACCCACTATCTTCACCGGCTCTACCGCATATTGCAAATCCTCACGGATCTCTACTGGCGGTTTCTCAAGAATATGAGAGGGATCCCGTATGTACTTCTTGAGCATTGATACATGAAACACGTCATGTATCTTCTCAAGTTACGGCGTTAACTTGAGACGATAAGCCACGGCTCCAATCCTTTCAAGGATCTCAAATGGACCAATGTATCGGGGGTTAAGCTTTCCCCTCGATACAAATCGAATGATGCCCTTCCAAGGAGAAATCCTTAGGAAGACCTCATCACCGACTTCGAACTCCAACGGTCTCCGCCGTTTATCAGCATAACTCTTCTGTCGGTCCTGAGCAGCCTTCAATCTATCCCGAATGATCCTTACCTTGGCCTTGGTAATCTCAACCAGCTCTATCCCTTCGAGTTTGGCCTCGCCAACCTCGTCCCAACACAACGGTGTTCTACATTTCCTCCCATACAATGCCTCATATGGAGGCATGCCGATACTTGCTTGATAACTGTTGTTATAAGCAAACTCCACTAGGGCCAAATGCTTGTCCCAACTTCCTTGGAACTCCAAAGCACATGCCCTAAGCATGTCTTCCAAAATCTGTATCACCCGCTCGGACTGTCCATCCGTCTGTGGGTGAAAAGCTGTGCTAAACTTCAGTTTAGTACCCAGCGATGCTTGAAACTTTGGCCAAAATCGGGATGTGAATCGTGGATCCCTATCCGAGACAATGGATATCGGGACTCCATGTAATCTCACAATCTCCTCCGTGTAAAGCTTGGCCAATCTTTCAAGAGGATAAGTAATGTTGATAGGCAAAAAGTGTGCACTCTTGGTGAGCCTATCAACCACTACCCAAACTGCATCATAGTTGTTCACTGTTCGTGGTAGCCCCACCACGAAGTCCATGGTCACGTGCTCCCACTTCCACTCTGGGATGGTGAGTGGCTGCAAAAGCCCTGCCGGGTGCTGATGCTCTGCCTTAACTTGCTGGCAAGTAAGGCACCGACTCACATACTCAGCAATGTCTCTCTTCATACCTGACCACCAGTAACTTTCCTTCAAATCTCGGTACATCTTAGTACCTCCTGGATGCATAGCATAAGCTGAAGAATGAGCCTCCTCAAGTATAGATTTCTGGAGTTCCTCATTCCTTGGTATGCACACACGATCCTTAAACAATAACAGACCGTCATCACGTACCCGGAAATTCTCAACGGGCCCCGCAAGGATCCTTTCACGGATCTTCTGACATTCCTCATCCATGGCCTGACTTCGACTAATCTCGCCCAATAGGGTGGGCCTAACCTCAAATTGAGCAATGAGAGCCCCGCACGTGGACACCTCCATGCGTGCCCTCAATGCCTGCAGACAAGTAAGTAACGTCCCTGACGTACTCTTCCTGCTCAGTGTGTCGGCCACTACGTTGGCCTTTCCGGGATGATAGTCGATGATCAAGTCATAGTCCTTGATCAACTCCATCCATCTCCTTTGTCTCATATTCAACTCTTTTTGAGTGAATACATACTTCAAGCTCTTATGATCGGTATAAATGTGACACGTTTCCCCGTAGAGATAATGCCTCCAAATCTTCAATGCAAACACTACCGCCCCCAACTCTAGGTCGTGAGTAGGGTAGTTCACCTCGTGTTTTCTCAATTGCCTAGAAGCATAGGCAATCACCTTACCGTTTTGCATTAGTACACATCCAAGCCCTTGGATGCTAGCATCGCTGTAAATGTCATACCCTATCCCCTGTACGGGTAGGGCAAGGACTGGTGCTTCGGTAAGTCGTTTCTTCAGTTCAAGGAACCCTTTCTCACACTTGTCGTCCCATATGAACTTGGCCCCTTTCTTTGTGAGCTTCGTTAATGGAGACGCCAATACGGAGAATTTTTCAACAAATTTACGATAGTATCCCGCTAAGCCAAGGAAACTACGTATCTCTTTCACATTCTTGGGTCTCTCCCAATCCATGATAGCTTTTATCTTTGCGTTATCCACAGCTACGCCCGAACCGGATATGACGTGACCGAGAAAACCAATCTCCTTGAGCCAAAATTCGCATTTAGAGAACTTGGCAAAGAGTTGCTTTTCCCTTAGCCGATCAAGTATAAGCCCCAAATGATGCTCGTGCTCCTCCTCACTCTTGGAGTATATCAAGATATCATCAATGAATACTATCACAAATTGATCTAAGTATTCACTAAACACCCGGTTCATCAAGTCCATGAATGCCGCCGGTGCGTTGGTTAAACCAAATGACATTACAAGGAACTCGTAATGACCATACCTAGTGCGGAATGCACTCTTAGGTATGTCGCTCTCCTTGATCTTCAACTGATGATACCCCGACCTCAAATCAATCTTCGAGAACACTATTGCCCCCCGAAGTTGGTCAAACAAGTCATCAATCCTCGGTAAGGGATACCTGTTCTTGATTGTGACCTTGTTCAATTGTCGGTAGTCAATACACATTCTTAGTGTACCATCCTTCTTCTTCACGAAGAGTACGGGTGCCCCCCACGGTGAATGACTCGGTCTGATGAACCCGTTGTCCAGTAATTCTTGTAGTTGGACCTTCAACTCTTGGAGTTCGGCCGGTGCCATTCGATAAGGAGGAACCGAAATGGGTTTGGTTCCCGGCTCCACTTCAATTACAAACTCTATCTCTCTGTCGGGTGGAAGCCCCGGTAGGTCTTTGGGAAAGACATCCGGGTACTTGCACACGATCCGTACATCTTTGATGTCGACTTCCTTCTTGGTATCGTCCACCACGTAGGCAAGGTACGCGTGGCATCCCTTCCTCATCATCTTCCGTGCTCTCATCACGGATATGATACAAGCACTAGATTTCCCCCGATCTCCCTCAAAGCATAGCGTGTTCCCTTGATCATCCTCGAGCTCCAACACCTTGGTGTAGCAATCTACTCGGGCATGGTGTTTCTCGAGCCAATCCATTCCTAGGATTGCATCGAACTCCAACATGCTTAGAGGTACGAAATCACAAGTCAAAGGTTGACCCGTCACTTCTACCTCACACGACGGATAGTAATGATTTCTCTCCACGTCGTCTCCTAACGGTGTGGAGACTAGCAACGTTTGAGTCATAGGTGTCAATGGCACGTCAAGGCCCTCGGCGAACGCCTCACTCACAAATGAGCGTTGTGCCCCGGTATCGATGAGGATCCTCGCACACCTACCATTGATCTTTAATGTTCCTACATTTATACACCATGTAAGATACATTTTCTAATGTTTTTACACATCATTAGGATGTTATTAGGTTCATACAAATGTTTGGAATCAAACGGGGGTCCAAACGTAGAAGAACGGGGCGAAAAAATCAACTTTCGGGTGTTGGGGGTCCACGCACGGCGTGCCTGGGTGGCAGGCACGGCCGTGCGTGCAACAAACTCACCCTGCTGTCCACTGCCGGCCAGGCACGATGCCAGGCACGGCGTGCCTGCGGCCGTGCCTGGCCAAAACTTCTTCGGACACCACTGCCTCCCAGGCACGACGCCAGGCACGGCGTGCCTGCGGCCGTGCCTGGCCAAAACTTCTTCGGACACCACTGCCTCCCAGGCACGACGCCAGGCACGGCGTGCCTGCGGCCGTGCCTGGCCCAAATTTTTTTTTTTCCTTTTTTCTCTTCGGGTGCCACTGCCTTCCAGGCACGATTCCAGGCACGGCGTGCCTGAGGGCGTGCCTGGCCGGCAGTGGCTGTTTCCAGCCAGATTCGGCCTAACTCACCCGGTTCGACCCCGGGGTGGCCCACACTCAATCCCAACGACGTATATGATCAAAGTAAGCCTAGAAATACATGGGAATACGCGTATTACCTGCAACGGAGTCCGGGTTTGCTCTCGCATCCGCCTCGGTCATCGCGTAGACTCGTGCTTGGGTCCCGCCTTGGTTTACGGACGCGGCATGACTTGTGGATGCGTTGCCTCTTCCCGTACCGCCGTTTGACGGGCCCGCACGGTTTCTTCCCGTCATGGTTCCTCCTCCGGATCCCGGAGCTCCTCCTCCCCCCAATTGTGGGCAATTGGCCTTCATGTGGCCCGTGTTCCCACACCGATAACACCTCGGGGGTGCGTTGCACTTCCCGAAGTGGTTCTTTGAACAGTTGGCACACTTAGGAGGCCCCGTATTTTGAGAGGAGGATGCGTGCCACCGAGCATCCTTGTTCTTCTTCGCCGGTGGTGCCGGCGCCTTGAACGTACCCCCACCCCCACCGTGGTGATTCTTCCGTGCTTGCTCGGGCGGCCCCGAATTATGCCATTTTCTCTTTTTCGCCTCCTCGGCGTCTCTTTCTTTTCTCTCATTCCATTGAGCCTCCCCAAGAAGGCCCTGCTCCACCACCTCGCTAAAGGTCATGTGGCGTGAGTACGTAGCCCGATCACGGATGTCCAAGAGTAAGGCATCCCAAAAGTGCTCCAACATGCGGTCCTCATTGATCGCGTACTCCGGTAAGAACCTAGCCAAGGTTCTAAAATCTTGCTCCAGTTGTTTAACAGACACACCCTCCTTCTGTTTGAGGTTGGTGTACTCCCTACGCTTGACGTTTTTCTCATAGTCAGTGTAGTATTGGTCATAAAACTCCTGCTCAAAGTTCAACCATGAGACCTCCCCATGGTATTTTCCTTCCACACTCTCCCACCACGTGGAAGCTATCCCCTCAAGCAGCCGTGAAGCAACACTCAACTTCACGTCCGGTGAAATTTGCATGTCCTTTGCCGCATCCTTCACCTTCTTTATCCAATCGGCGGCAACGGTAATGTCACCGGTGCCGTCAAAGGACTTACACCCCAAGGCCCTAGCCTCCTTGAGGTACTTGGAGATTCTCACACAAAAACCTCCTTCACGCCCATCGTGTGGCGCCACGGGAGTGGCTCTTGAAGCTCCCCGGCTTCCTTGACCCGAACCACCGCGAGAGCCACGCCTTGCTTGGCGCCTAAGGTCTCTCCTCAGCTTTTCTTTTTGATACCACTCAAGCAATTCGCCCATTTGGGCGAACTTGGCATCACTCTCTTCATCATCATCATCGGTGTATGTGTCACCCCCATCATATGGGGTCTCCTCGTGCTCCGTTTCCGGAACATATGTAGAGTCGTAGTCTTCGGTGTTGGTTTCATACACCGAGCTTACATGGCCCTCACTCACAGTTTGAGCTTGGTGACCTCCACGGCTTCCACGGCCTCCACGGCCTCCTCTTGAACCCCGAGATGCAGCCCGGCTCCCCCTTTGGGATGCTACCGGCGTCTGCCCCCTCGGATTGTTCCTGGTTCGCATTCGCCTGCCCTCCATTTCTGAAAGAAATATGGATGAGTCATTAGACTCCTATAAATGTCAATTGACGGAAAAACGTTACAGACACGTATTGGCCCAAGTCACTACCATACCAATTGTTAAGGGTACCGTCTTAACAATTAGAGGCCTTGCAACTTAAGCACCAATAGTCCTATAAACGTCAAAATACAATGCTCATGGTTTTCGGCAAAAACTCTTTTGTAAAATCTTTTGTGAGAGGTTGATTATATAGTTTAGAACTGAGATGGCTCTGATACCACTTAATTGTCACGCCCCAGACCGCAATCCAAGCGCGTGTACAACCGCCGTATAACTAAGTGACGTCACCCACGAGTCAACCTCACTCAATTACACAAGGCGTTCGAGAAAACAATCCATCCATACTCAGTAGTAAACATACATAACAACATCACATTTAAACCAATGAATAGCGGAAAATATTCAACGGTAAGTCATAGGCCACAACCGGCCAACAACATGGGCATGCAAGCCCCAAAAATAGTTTATAGTAGAACAAATATCCATGAGCAAGTGTTCGGTAGTTTGAAAGAAAATAAGGAAGCACGAACCACGTCTTCCTGATTTGATACCACCCGTGAGAAGGTGCAAGTAGCAAGCCCTAGCTTCAACCTGAAAATGGTGGGGCCCCCCGAAGGGGTCAGTACAAGTACCGAGCGAGTAGCAGGCTAAATATAGAATAACTAGCGTTTCAAGTATAAGACCCAAACATAGGGTGATACTTAAATAGATAGTCTTTCCCCCAAGTTATGAAATACTTATTAGTATAAATATATACTTGGAAAATATCCGATCCGTAGATCACCATTTTATTTGGGAAGAATAGTAATAGTCAATATTCTTGACTAAAAACCCCAACCCACCCATATACCAATGAGTGTATAGGACTCCTCCTTGTCCCTATTTCAATATCATAATCTATGAGTTTTGAGGATCATAATCCTTGGGTACTCCACCGGTTTGCGAGTGTTAAGGACTCATAAGTCCTAGGGTCCTCCACCAAGTTTTGAGTGTTAAGTACTTTTAAGTACTAGGGTCCTCCACCAAGTTTGAGTGTTAAGTACTCTTAAGTACTAGGGTCCTCCACCAAGTTTGAGTGTTAAGGACTTTTAAGTCCTAGGGTCCTCCACCAAGTTTGAGTGTTAAGTACTTTTAAGTACTAGGGTCCTCCACCAATTTATAATCTGAGTGTTAAGGACTTTAAGTCCTAGGGTCCTCCACCAATTTATAATCCGAGTGTTAAGGACTTTAAGTCCTAGGGTCCTCCACCAAATTTTGAGTGTTAAGTACTTTTGAGTACTAGGGTCCTCCACCAAAATATTTTCCTATGATCAACCTTCTATCAACCTAGATAGAGTTTATATCACACTTAGTTACTCGTAACTAATTCAATACATAAAGCTTATGTATCACAATCCATGCAAACCATGCGATTCTATAAATGTATAACTAACTAATATCAACCGATATTAATTAATCCATTATCCACCGGTCAACGGTGTCGTTGACCGCCATTTCAAGTCTTACACTTATCGACTCAATCATCATGTAATTAAATTGATAATGTTCATTTGGTGTTCCTTATACCTTTCAAACAAATATGGATTTTATGTAATTCCTCATATCATATTCCATGCATAAATCATTTATTTCTTTTATACAAACTTAACCCTATTGGCTAATCACATGTTTAAATATCTTTTAAACATCATTATGAACTCATATAACATTTATTTAGGTAATCTCATAATTAACCCAAAAGTTATAAGATATTAAGCCGTCCACTCACCTTGAACTAGTGTTATGAAGTTCCACCCTTCTTGGTTGAACTCCGGTGAAACTCCGGCGACTTTTGGTCAACTCCGGCGACAACTCCGGCGACTTTTCCAACTTTGTGAAATCACTTGAAATACCCTTTACAAGTGCCTAACAAGGTTTTATAATCATAAAACCCATATTAATACAAATAACCTCTAAAAGGTTATTTTCCGGTGAACCGGTCGTTTTGGCTTCTAAGTCCGTTTTTGGACGTAGAACCACCTTCCAACCCATGAATCCATACTTATAACATATGGAACCATACTAAAGGTTCTTCATATGCTATATACTTCATATGGTAGAAGAAAAATAAAGAAAAAGTTATAATAAGGTCATTACCTTAATTATTTCACACTTTTAGCACTTTAGCTCCTTTTTGGGTGATTCTTCTTTGATGAGCTCTCTTCAACAATGGAGGAAGGAAGAAGAAGAGTTTTCTTTCTCTTCTTGCTGTAGCTTGGCCGAAAATGAAGAGGGGAGAGGGATGAGAATGAACTTTTGTCTCATTAATCCAATGAGTGCAAAATGAGGGTCCACCTTAGGTACTTTTGATGCCTTTCCATTCAATCTCCAACACCTCCCACCTTCCTATTCCCATTCCAGCGGCCAACACCCCATATTGAGTGTCCAAATTCGTGGGTTGGCCCCCACTCATGTGGGAGGTCAACCCTTTGTGTCCCGAAGTGTACAATCGGTCCCGAAAGTTGTATTTTTCGGACTGTTTTAAATATATTTTATTTTATCAGGTCAAATAAAATATATTATGTGCTCTTACTCATTATGACATGTATAATGAATATACATTCCCCAACTTTAATTTATAAGCCTCCGAAATTCAGTTCGGGCTGTTATCAGTTAAATTACCAGTACTGGTAATTTGGGCTTCTTTTGACCAATCGGTCAACTCCGGGCCTTTCCATGGCCCAAATGAAATATCCACCACTACATATTTATTATCTAGACCATGATGAATAAAATGTATGGTCTCGGGAAAATCGGGCGGCCCCCGCTCCCGGTGTGGGTCCCACGTGCAATTTACTATTCACGCGAAAGAATAAATAAAAATTTACAACTTCGTAAATTCATAAATCATTCCATAAGGTTTATTAAATCATTTACATAAAAGTAAATACATTTGGGGACGGTGTTACAGAACGTCTATGCAGGGACAAGGAGCAGGCCCACGGGTCACCAGAATGACGACGAACGTCGTCAGAGTAAGCCCATAGCCATCGGAGACGGTCTAGCCCGCATGGCGAGAATCCACAAAGGCCAGGGGACGAACGGCCAGTACCCCTGGGGGGCTACCTGGAGCAATCCAGCTCGCTCCCCGGGCGGACGAACGTCCCCATTAATTAGGCGGGAAACATAGATTCTGGCGGGAAGCGCATTTAATGCTGAAGATTTGGTGGTTGAGGCACCAGCGGACCACAGACTTCCACGTCAGTGTAGCCACCTGCCCATTGGTGGGTATAAATAGAAGCATTTATTTCATTGTAAGGGGTTGGCAACTTTCTATTCTTAGCACTCTAGCTATAGCATTCTTACTCGCAGCACTTCTACTGCCTTGTAAGACGAACGGCCGACGGAGCCTTAGCGAAAAGTATTGTATTAGGGAGTTATTAAGAGATAATAATACCTAATCACTTACTTGCTACCTTATTGTTTCTTGATCCTTATTACTTGCTAGTTGGGCTAGTTTACTCACACACACTCCACTCGAAATCCTTGGGCTTACGTGTTGGACCCGAGGGTTGAAGGAATAAACATCAACAAATATTAATAATAATAAAAAAAATTATTATTATTATTATTATTATTATTCTTGTTGTTATTGTAATTATTATAATTACTATTATTATTGATATTATTATTATTATTATTATTACTATTATTATTGTCATTGTTATTGTTATTGTTATTGTTATTGTTATTGTTATTGTTATTGTTATTGTTATTGTTATTGTTATTGTTATTGTTATTGTTATTGTTATTGTTATTGTTATTGTTATTGTTATTGTTATTGTTATTGTTATTGTTATTGTTATTGTTATTGTTATTGTTATTGTTATTGTTATTGTTATTGTTATTGTTATTGTTATTGTTATTGTTATTGTTATTGTTATTGTTATTGTTATTGTTATTGTTATTGTTATTGTTATTGTTATTGTTATTGTTATTGTTATTGTTATTGTTATTGTTATTGTTATTGTTATTGTTATTGTTATTGTTATTGTTATTGTTATTGTTATTGTTATTGTTATTGTTATTGTTATTGTTATTGTTATTGTTATTGTTATTGTTATTGTTATTGTTATTGTTATTGTTATTGTTATTGTTATTGTTAGAAATAATGACCGCTATAATACTATCGGCTTAAGCATGGACGGAAATAGGTCCTAAATTCAATTTGGACAAAACTAGGACTAAATATTAGTAAATGGACAGAAAGACCCTTCCTTAACCTTACCCATATTGTCTCTCGTCCGCTTCAGTCACAGCTTCGCTGTGGACTAGGTCGCCGCATCTCCTTCATCTGCTATTACCTCTGTTCTCTCACCGCAAACAGCTCCTCTCACCGCCAATCAGGCCCTCTCGCCGCAAATTAGCCGCTCTCGCTGCCGGTTTCTACGTCACTGTTGCGTTGCCGCACCTCCTCTTCGACTCTTCTTCACAGTCCGCGTCACACCCTTCGCCGCCGCGCGCTGCCGCACCACGCCACCGTCTACTGTCTCCGACCGCATCCTTAGTACTCTATTTTCTTCTTCTCTGTCTCTACCATCTTCCTCCGCCCATTGAAATCAAAATCCGCGACTGGG